TTGAATTGAACAGGCTGCCACTGTGTGTTACAGCAGGACGAAACAGATGTTTGCTTGTTACACATCCTGGATCATAAACGCACACACTCCACATTCAGACATGGCAGTAACAGAGAAATGAAGAGCAGCATTTTGGAACGTGTTTGAACTCAAAAAACAATCAGTCAATGAGCACACTTCCCCAAACGGGGTGTCAGAAACACCAGAGTGACTTTCCAAAACTAACAGCCACACTTTCCACGTTCCCTCCATGTGCTCGGGCTCAGGATGTGTGACAGCCATCTGTGAGAGCCATCTAAAGCCCATCACACCTCGCCCAACAAAAGCAAAAGCACAGAGGTCTGCACAGTATGACTAATGTCCTCATCTCACCAGCAGAGGTCAGCACAGACCAGCTCTGCTTCTGTCAGCCGGTTAAATATAAAGACGAGTGAAGAAGATAACTTCTATTTTCTTTCCTTTTGCCACAGTGTTGCCAGGACTCACATATAAAGTTACCAAAACACAAACAGTGCATAAAGACATGCACGAGATCAAGAATTGAGGATAATTAGGAGATTTAAGGCTGCTGAGAAGCTGATCACCCTATAGTGCATATTTAATATCCTTCGTCTTGGTTCCTCCTCAAAAAGCGTTGAATACAAAGATATGTGACTCGTCTTCCTACCTTTCCCTGAACTGAAGAAACAGTCCATCTCCACACTGGAACGTGAGTGGGAAACGCAGAGGACAGACGTGGGAACCAGTCCCTCCTGCGGCGGGCTGCGGTCAGTGGTTCGGACTAGACACCACCCGGGCCGCTCGCTGGGCCGCTCCAACAGCTCCACCGTCTGACCTGGAAAGTGGAGAAGATAAAAAGGTATCGAAGACAGGTCAGAGATTTGAACACTAAATGTTACAGAAGACAAAAGAAACTTGGATTTAGCTCAACCTAAAAGATGGATGAAGACTGAAGCAGCGGTTGGAGTTTAACCTTCTGTAAAACTTCAAAATCCATCCTTTCATGGTCCTTGGGACCAAAAATGGTCCCGCCCCAAAAAGTGCTCTAAAAGGTTATATATC